GGGGGCTTAATAAAGAGGGGTAGCTTATGAGAGGGGAGGGCTTGAGAGAGGATTTACGGTATCATGATTATAATTAGCTGAATTTTCACCCTGGTAGCAAAAATGGCCGTGGACGACTTAGAGACAGATAAACTATGCTCGAAAACTTGAATTGAGCACTATTCTTTATAGTATCCCCCTCAAAAATATGTCGTTATAAATGTCCAAAATTGTGCTCACTCTTTTTTTCATCGCTGTGTAATAGATGTAATTTAAAATGTCTCTCTTTGCCGCTTGGAAGAAAAGCTTGTTTCGGCCAGATCTCCAAGTGGTTGTGTTTCATAGATCAAGCTCGTTAAAAAACTTGCAACACGAAATAACTTTGTTCTATCAAATCAGATGTGGGATGTAAATTGTGAATTATGTGTTAAATCAAATAAGACTGAGATGTTCTCCATATAAAAAAGTTGATTTTTGAATGGCATATCATTAAAACAGAAGGTCAAATCTAATGATACAGACATCTACTTTTGCACACAAATGAACAATAGCCTTCGGCACTTGGTCGTAAACTTAGTCCACAAAGTACTTCTTTTGTTAAATACTTTGGAAGACTGAAATATACTGTGATGTGTATCGTTTGATTAAACAAACAAGCAGATCCAGGGGGAGGATCCAGGGGGTTCGGACCCCCCCTATTAGACCTGACGCTTACAACTTTGAGACAGGATCCTATATCACTTTTAACTGGCTGATTTTTTAATGAATCCAAGTAAACGGTAAGCGGCCAAGGAATTATAACGTGCAACGGCGACTGGTGGGAGGGGGTGTGGGGGGGGGTGAATTTGCCTCAAATAGTCCAACAGTCCTTTCTGAACCAAAGTTTGGACCCCCCCAATCAAAAATTTCTGGATCTGCCTCTGGTACATGTAAATGAGATGGACATCCATTCAACTCCCCACATGTTACTCCCTGCTCCAGTTAATTCAAATCAATTTTCCCTAACTGATACTTTTCTAATTAGTTTTTTGCTTAAGTAAACAATTGTTTCATATTTTGGCAGGTGGTCATGCTGGTATGAAGTACATGGGAAGTTTAACAAGATTTACTTGAGGCATAACCAAGAGCAACTCCAGCTTCTTGAGTGCTCTCCAAACTTCCCAAGTATTTCATTCCTCAATGCCCACAGACTTTGCAGCAGTATTGTAGATTATCATTTGTAACTGTCAACAATGAAGTCAAATTTGAAAGACAGAATTTTATAGATATAACTCCACATAACAAATATAGCATAATAAACCCTTAGCGTCGAAACCATTACTGAGTAAAAACTTAATAAAAAACATTATGAAAAATAAAATCAGCATGTATATCAATTCCAAATCAAAAAATTTTCAAACCTATTACAGCCATCTGTAGAGAAGAAAAAACTACCAACTTCGTTATAACTATTAACGCTGAAAGAAAACAAAGAAAATGTAAAAACTATACCTTTGCATGAATTTTCTAAGTAGTTCCTCTGATGAAATAAACCATTTGTGTGTCATGAACACAGCATTTGAAAGGAAAGGCTCTGTTACATCTCCACCTAAAACACATCACAAAGATCTGTCATTGAAAAAGAAGTACTGGTACTTTTTGTCATCATCTCTTGCATGTAGGGAAGTTGAATAGTTCAAAACTGATTATCATGATACCTCCTGAAAACTACATGACAGATACCTTCTGACTATACTGTAGCTTTTTACTTGGTTGCAAATCTTGTTAGAATTTGTTGAGCTTCAAGTGGCACATTGATTTTTTGTCATATACTTTCTGGCAACACAGGACAAAATTAATGAATACAGAATGTGGACCCCCACCCCCTGAAAAAATCCAGTTTGGTTTGAGACACATGCTCACACCAAACACTCTTTTTCTCACCTTTTTTTTTTCACTCAACATGGAGGTCAGTTAAAAGAATTATACAATGTTTATTACAGATAATTTATGCATCCACGAAAAAGTCCTCACATCAAATTAGAAATTTCAGTAATGCAAAAAGGCCAGCCTTTTCACCTTTCCACTACTTTCCATTAATTTTCAATTTCCAGAGGAAGTTAAAACACGTATAGCATCAAGAACAGAATGTAGTAAGAAACAATTGCTTGTCCAGACACAAAGAAGTTAGTTTTGGGTGGCTTGAGTAGTGACCTCAAAAACTTAATTAACCCATAACTCATTGATTATAGCAGCCAGTTGTCTGTTTGTTTTTCTGCAAGTATGACATTTATCTGATTACAGCTTACAGCTCCGCTTAAGTCCCCTTAGCATACACAAACCTGAACCACTACTTATCTCCTTTTTAGCAGAAGTAAGGGCAATGTTAGTTTCCCCTTGAGACCTCAAACAGTTTTTTCTGCCCCCTATATACTTGTATCTCAAACCATCTATAGGCAAATCTTGTGACACAGCTGGCACAAACTATTTTCCTGTCACCAAAAAGATCATCACACCTTCGTAGAATGATTGCTTTCATCTCTGCACAATGGCCCCTCCTTCCATACATTCTACACATTCAAAAAAGTTGAACCCACAGTCACTTACATTTGATAGTAATGTCTCCTTGGAAATTCTCAATAATGCATGTTTACCAAATCTCTTTTTTTTCTTTTAATTGACCTTTTCACTCCTAAAATCTCATTAGTAATTCTCCCCACAGCCTATTAGTTCAGATAATTCAGTATTGGATCAAATAGCAATCAATCACCTAATTGTTGTTTTTCTTTATTCTCATCACTTGTCTGCTTGATATTCTGTTGATATTGTACAGGAAAATTCTGTCTAGGTCACTCTGTGGAATTAAACCAATTGGGTGTTCTGAGTTTTTCTCTTTGTAGATATCTCAAACCGCCCTTTCCTGTTTCCTTCGCATCCCAAACCAAATAAAGGCATCTGATGGTAGATGGGGCACAATTACTTCCTGTCACTTGCCTTTTTCATACCCCTTTTTTAAGCAGTATTTACTCCAACATATTCCTGAACTAATGAAATTATACTTCAAAGAAGTGATTTTGCCATGACAGGAAGGAAGACTTGTGATAAAACACCCATTAAGTCTTTAACAAGTTCCTTGACAATGATATCGTCTTTCTCTAGTAATTAACGTGGACTAACATCTTCCTGGATGAGGCTAGCTGTATAATCTGTCTCTTTTATTTACAGCTAATAAATTAATCTTCACCCCAAACACAACTTACATTCTTTTCAAAACAACAAAAATATAGAATTAAACAAAACAATACAGAGCAAAAAGTTCCCATCCCGAGTTGAAAACAACCTTTAGGTACAACGACAATATCAAAACTCTATCAATAGCTGACTGCAACGCTTGAAAATACCTTATAAAATTAATAGAAAACCGTTCAGAGACATTGATGCACTGAAACTTCTTGAGTGCTTATAATTATTTGGTCTTAAATAACAAATTCCCGAGTATTTGTTGGGATAAATAAAAACTTTACGAAAAAAATAACAACTGTGTGCGTAATTATAAAATGACACACAGTAACACGCACGGTACAAGGACAAAAACAATAGATTACAAAGCCATGTGAAATACAGCATGAATGTCAACGGTTGTCTACGAGCCGGACTGCGACAACAAACATAAAATTTTCAGAAATAACGGGAAGGTTTCAAAACAACTTGCAGTAAAACTAACTTACTGAATTCCTCCGCACAGTAATCAACCAGTTTTTCCAAAGAAGACACTTGAACGCTTAGTTGATCCTGTTGGCTATTGTCTAATTCGTCACAACTGATAAGATCAGAGCTTTCCTCGTCATTCGTCGATTCCATATCTAACTGTTGTTTATTCACAACGTGGTTTCTGGAAGACTTAAAGGAAATTATTGCAATTATTATGTCATCGAATCGGATGCAGCCCAAAACAGCAAAAAAGATGCTAAGGAGTCGGACATCTAAGGATTTTTAAACCGGTGGAACACTGAACCGCAGTATATTAAATCTTAAACACTATAACTACCACATTTAACCTGTAAAATGTATTCTAACCAGTCACTAGGGCACAAACTCACCCTCCCCTTTCTTTTATAGAACCTCTTACAATTCGATTCGCCACCATTTAATATCAAAAATTTTATTTTCCTTCGATCGCACTCAAACGTCACTTACCTCTTTAAGAAACTAAAAATAGCTTCACATATACCAAGTTCATTCTGCAATCAACCCTTTTTTATCAGCACTGTCCATCGTCATAAATCCAACAACACACAGCCATTAAAGTTACGTTATAAAAATGCGTCACATTATATCTCACTAACGAATCCGTCTCTTCACTAAAAACACTCGTTACATGAACGACTACATCCGGTCACGTATTTAAAGAAAACTTCGTCCCCAGGGTCTTTCCGCATCCGTAAAAAAAACATTAGCCAGGTTGGCTGGTTGGAGGAAATGATAGACCCAACAAGCGAGATAGTTAACTTGGGTATCACAACCCATGATTATGATCCACAAAAACGTACACGATTCTTCCCAAGTGACATGCCTATCAAAGAAAGACTTCAAATAAAAGTCTGGTGATGGGGTTGGCACGAGGGATGCTCAAAAAAATAGGTACGCATGCGTACATGGTGCTATGAAGGCAGAGGTTGGTCTTGATATGATTGACACAAAGCCATATTTCCTGCGCTGTTTATAGATTGTATCAGAAATATCACTGAACCTGTTGTTCTACACCAGAGAAGATAGACATCGATTACACACTGTCCTTAGTGCCGAATCGAACATGCACTTTTCAATCATTTGCTTCTCATTACATCATTAAGAGTTTTCATTTGCGATGCCTTATTCCCTATTCTTCCTTTTTTATTCCACATTCAAATTTTTCGCTTTTCAACTTCCCATTCTCCTTTCCGGTTTTCAGTTTTTCCGTTAACGAATCTCCATTTCCAATTCTCAATTCCCGATATTTCCGATTTCCCTTCTCGATTTTTTTCTGATTTTCCCTTCCCAATTCTGCCATTCTATTTTCCCGATTCTCCATTCGCTACTTCAGCTCCATTTCCAATGCGTCATTCCCTCTTCTCAATATCTTACTCTCTATTACTCTCTATTCCGATTCCGATCACCGTTTCATAATTTCCGAATCTCATTTCAGTCTTCCCTACTCGTTGAAATCAGAATTTTTTTTTATTTTTTCCAGTATTTTTTTTTTTTCAATTCTAGTCCGCCTATGATTAGTAGGTCTTTGTTTGTTATTATTATCCATCCATTTTGTGTTGAAGATTTTAGGTAGATCAAGGCAAAAATCATTGCTTCCTCTGCTGCCGTGTTTCCACAAAATTACTACTTTAATTCAGGCTTGAGTTAAGCTAACGATGAAGAGGTTCACTCGAGCTTTTCCTTGCAATGTAACTAAAAATAGTGCACGTACCGGAACGCTAAGACGTGTATATGGCGAGAAGAGTGGAGGAGAATTTTCCCAATTTTAACCTGCCACAAGTGTGGGTCATCCCCACGTGGTTTTCATACGCGAGGTATGCGAGCACCTCTGGGTCGAGAGACAACAGCTTCTCACACCTGGAGAGGAGAACTGTGTCTTAAGGAACACTGCTTGAAGCCCCAGCATGTTGTAACCAGCAAAGATTTGTTTAAATTCTTGGATTTTATTAAACCTGGTAAGTACAAAAAATTAAATTCCAGTATTAGAATTTCAGAAAGTCGTGTTACAATAAAATGGGTTCATGGAAGGGGGCTGAATGCGCGGGCTGTCACTTGAGTTCTGTCAACACGAACCAATCGTTGAAAAATTGAAGCACAGCATGGAGCAATGAATAAAAAATCAGATACATTTTAAGCATTTTTTACTCATACTTTAATTACTTCAATGGTTTCCATGTAACTCTGTAATCAGTGCTCTAGGTATGGTCCCTACTTTACAGAGGCACAAACATTTAGTTAAGAAATAATCATAAGAACATAAAAAGCGCATCAAAACGCAAATGACGAATGCAGCCGAGATCTTGCCTTAACTGAACTAGGTACCTGATGAAACATAAGTTATTTTGGTTCGACAGGTATTCTAGGAAGGTGACCAATCTAGTTGCATCGTAGTGGTCTGTAAAACCGTTACTTAACTATCGAACTGCTGTCGTGTGTCAGGGAGCTGGGATGGAACTGGTGAGTGAGCCTATATCAATAAAACAAGATACCATATTATATGAAACGAAGTTTATTTAAAATTCTTAGGAGTGTCAATAGGTATGTATATTTACCTCAAAGTTTGCACCCACTTCTTCTTACTCTAAAAGATGAAAACTTGGCGAAAAAAACAAACGAGTTGGACTAACCATAATGGTGAGGTCAGGAGAAAACTCTGTTATATGTTAGCTGTTACGTTTCGCTCATAGCATTTTTTTTGTCATTAATTAAGAAATGAAATGTTTCCAGCAGAGTAGAAGGAGCACACAGCCAATGGCTCAGAGCTGCGATCTCTAACTGATGCATAAGGGACATTTGAATTCCGCACAGGAAGAGACTTTGGAGAGCAACATCAAAACTCACTTATTTGACAAGGATTGGACTGACTCCTAACCAACTAATTGATTGATTGACCGACGCTTTGATCGGCTGTCTGATTTACTTATGAATTTATTGATTGAATAATTGATTGAATGATTGATCGACTGACTCACTGAGTGCCTCGCTTACCCTTTCAATTTCTCATTCAAAAACTCGTTGACTCTCTGACTCAGTAGTTGACTGACTGACTCATTGACTGACTCAGTCACTTGGTCGCTAACTCACTGACTTAATATAATGACTGACTGATTGACCGACCACTTAACAGACTTAGTGCTTAGTGCTTAGACTCACTGACTCACTCCCATCATCAGGCTGACTGGTTGTATCGCTGACGGATAAACAGACAGACTGCCTGCGGAGTGAGTGATTGATTAAGAACAAAGCACACGACACAAAAATGCAGCCGACAATTCTTTTTCTGCTTAAAAGGATATTTTAGTTGTGAGGTTTCACGACGGAAATCCAGCGCTCGACCGACAACAACAGAAAAATGTAAACTGAGAAAATTAAAAACTGCCACGGAAAGAAGAAGTTCGATATGAGTTTACAGAAGATCTTTCCAGGAAATGGATGTTTCGGAAGATAAAAAAACGATGGCCATTAGAATCATGATCACATTTACGGCGCTTAATACATCAGAGACGGCTAAGGACAGAATGCAAATGTTATAGTTTTTTTCTTAAAACTCTCTTATTAAAGACAACAACTAGAATAACCAATAGGTTGCCGAAAAATGCAACTGAGGAAATCAGAAAGTAAGCAATGCTTTGGATAAGTAAGAGTAAGGCCCTTTGCTCAACAGCTTCCTGGCTTAAGGTAGGAGCTGTAGTCATTTCTTGTCTTGTAAAATTATTTTAAGACAAATTCATCTTTATATGATGTCTATGATGTTTCAGTTGAACTTCAGAAAGCTTTGACTCTTCCCCTTTTTCCTTTAATATCGTTGTAAATGTCTGCGATCTCTAATGTATTTCTAAAAAAGTTGAGAGTAGAATAAAATTACATAAAATCTTGTTTATTTAGTCTAAAATACGATTGTAACACATCACGAGAAAAGCGCGGGACGACGCAGGCGCTCGTCAGTTCACTGAGACTGTCCGGTATTTTTTAAAGATCACACCGATTAAATAAAAAAGGATGAATTGAAACAACCTCATTCCCAGGGTCTCTCATCTTCCCGCTCTCTCCTCGCTCGCTCCAGGGGGCAGGAAGATGAGAGACCCTGGGAACGAGGTTGGAAAGGAAACAGAAACATGATTTCAGTTCATGATTGCTCAGAGAATGAAGTCACCATCAGAAATTTTTTTCTGTAATATAATACCAAAAAGTAGTGTTCCATTTTAGAAATGCAAGGTTTATCAATTTCAAAAGTTTATACGGGAAGACATTTCAGAATAATTTCGTTCAACGAGAAAACATTCAGTTGCATGCTCAATTTCTGGTCGGTGATTATCGCTTTTAAAGTGATCCCTGACCGAAACTCTACCCCAAGTTATTAGGGAACATTAACTGTTTTTTTCTCTTCAGAACAACCAAATCTCTGAGGAATACTTTTGTAAGCAAAGTGTCTTCAACATTTACCTCGGTGGACCGGGATCGCTTTCATGGCAACCAGCGATGTGCGTTGCGCGCCAGTTCAAGTTCAAGATCGATGATACCGACTGACTTTTTTCAAATGCCACTTGATTTATAAACCCGTTCCATTATAGATGACTCTCAAAATCGAATATCTTCATAAATCGGCATATGACAAGAGCCTCTACGTTTTTGTGTAACCAATCAAAATTGAACTGATTACGAGGCTCTCGACGTTGAATTTGAAAAAAGAAAACGAAAAGAAAGTTTAAATACTGTGAGCAACGTTAAGTCGGAACATATGTTCGTTCACTGCGATTTTTTAGAGTCATATTTTTTTGTTTCGTTAACAGAATTAATAATCAATTACAACGATTCAAGTGAAAAATTTCCCCTCAACGTTTACAAACATACATGTATGATAGGTTTTTTGAAGTGAATTTCCCAGGGAATTTCGCAAGATCACTGGTTCGCTAGATAATTAACAAACTAGTAACAGACGAACTAAAGAAACAAACACTTGTGCATCCTGAACAGCAGCTCCATTGGGTGGATAATTGCCGAAAATCGGATCGCCTCGCAGAAAAATATTAAATAGTATTATGAAAAAATTAAAGATTTTTGTAAAATTAATTTAAGATTAAAGGTGCGTTTCTGTGTAAAAGTTTAATGTAATCCTAGCCCATTAGTAAAGATTTGTTGAAATGAAATTATTGAAAAGAGAGATTTCACGATTTAAAATTGATGTTGTCACCTGGCGGCTTATGGCACTTTTCGAAACGAAACAAAACGAAAGAAATGGTACTTCGCGAAATGATTCACTACAATAAGCCGGAACATCATGATTTCTGCTAAGGTTCCACGACCATAACAAAACTTTAACCTTATTAACTTTTCACTTCGTAATTAATCTACCCACAAAGGATCATTTTGAAGCAACCGACCTAATCTAGGACAATTAAATTTCCAACGAGTTCGGGAAATTGCATTTGCTAAAGGATCCGTCAGTTTGATTTCTTTTGAATCTATCGAGACATAATCTTGATCATGATGATCATTCCCAAGCGATCTCTCAACACAAAAAAGATTTCCGCTTCTATTCATTTGAAAAACTCGTTACTTATTTTGGTGAGTATTGTTTCATTTTACGTCACGTGATTTCAGTGCACGATGGCAGTTTGTTTCTTTATGAACCATACAGGAATAAATTTCTAAAAGGAAACGCATTTCAAACAGAAGTGAAAATGTGCTACAAAGGGTTTGAATGAAGACTATTTTAAGAGGGTCTGGATGGGGTTAACTGACAACTAACAAATAGCCAAAATTTTAACTGACAACTGATCACGACAAATCGCTGAAAAACTAACTGACACCTGACATTTGTGGTGGGCTTTTACCGACTGACAAAAGCCCGGATCGCCCTAAATATCCTAAAAACTGGGTGTAAAATAAGGACATTTGATTTATTTTGTTGAATTAAAGTACGTTTTCCATTACATATCAGTTGGAAAACGCCAGCGTTTCATATTTCGTTAATAATTACCGCATGTGCCATCCACATCAAGGTCATGTATCACATATCAGTTGTACGATCTTTGATACCCAACTCTATGACGCGCCATTGCGGATAAAAATACTTGTGTGAATTTGTATACGACTTGTGCTATTTAAATACAACTTCGTGTTTCCCACTTACAGCTTTTTTGTCGCGTCTGCAACTTCGCTCTTCATTTGCTGAACTTGCATGAAAATATACTGAACTTGTTTGGCAAACACATGACTTCTCGTTATGTTCATACAACTTCTATCCAGGGTGCATTTTCATCCGGTTTACCCGGTAATTTATGTCTTTGCCTTGGAGCAGTTGATAAGACTTGTTTTCAAAATATAGGATTTAACATTTGCGCGCACAACTTGTTTTGCAGAATATTCCACAACTTCCTACCACATTTTCGTTGAACTTCTTATCGATTGGAAATCGATTGACTTTTACCCGCCCCAGAGTCCCTTGCGCGACGTTTAGTCTTTGCATGTGGAAAATAT